TTGTCCACCTCACTCCAGAGATTAGTCTTCTGACCATCCGCAATCCCCAACTCCACATCCACGTTGCACAGTTGCTGATCCACCATCCACGATAACGCCATCCTAGGGGCTTGCCTTCGAGGACACTGCGCCGCCATGTGCTCGTAAGAATCTCATAATTGGCAAGTTTTCCTCTGCCCCGCATAGTGGACAAATACCTGGGTCCTATAGCCTGTCAGCGTAACATACGAGGGTATTGGCCGCCTCAATGACATCTTCAGGGTGCAGGACCCCTCGGGCAGCCCTTCAAACGGCCCGTCCCTCCACACCCCCATACTAGCCGTATGAACAGTTCCATAATTGCTGAAGGCTTCCTGAATGCCATACGACATTGCCTCAAAGGGCACATTACGCACCTTTACCCACATGTAATATTTCGAAACATCATGTAGACACACCTCTACTGTTGAATTCACACTCGTCCTCCTTTCCTGAAATTCATCCACAATCCTGGTGTAAAAGCCGGCTCTTGTAAACTTCACAAAAACCCTTGTCATTCCATTAAGGGCTACACCGTACAATTCATCGTTCGGTATCCCGTAGATGTCCCTAATTATGGCCAATAACAGTACATGCATTGTCGCACTGCTTAATGTTCCTCGAACTAATTCAATACAGAGTATTCACTCTCCGGCTGATACGATCCACCATGTTGGTGCCTAAGTCAAGCAGTCACCACCAGGTGCGTGTAGGGAGATCTCAAAGGCGTTCCCTCATAGTGGACAAAATGACGTCCTATATTGAAAACTCGATGTTTCGGCCGACTTGCCCCATTAAGGTCCAACGGGGGCAGCCTTGGTTCCACCACCATAAGGTATTGATTACTATTCATAATCTTTACTCATGAATGCCTAGGCATTGCACTCAAAGGAAATAGCATTCCCAGTGTAATATTTCGAAGGGCATCATAGAACTCACTCTACTGTTGATTAATCGTCATCCTTTACCATGAAATTCTAAGTCAGGTGTACAAGGGCTTGTAACTTCAAAAACGTATCCTTACGGTACAACTAAATCATGATTCGTATCGTAATTGTCCCTGAATTATGCCAATAAGTACTGCTAGTTGTCGCCAGTGTATGTTTGAAATAATTCATACAGGGTATTTACTTCGCTGATAGATACCTGGGTGCTGGTCAAGCATCACCATCCTGGGTGAAGAGTACAAAGTATCTTGATGCAGTTGGTCGAGTAGACGTGACGTAACATGAAATGTGACGTTACCTCCCACTACATAATGTCAGGGTGTATAAGTGAGAAGGATAATTACCATTCAAACACTCATAGAATTTACGGCAAGAAATGTAAGGATAGGGATTACGATATTAAAAAGAATTTTATACTCACAGGTGAAGTATATAAAAGTACTAAACATAAAGCATAAATTATGAAATTGCGCTGAATTAGTTTGCAAAGAGTGCTCAGTTGACCCAGTGTTGTTTGGAAAGTGAATTTGACGGTAGTATTGTCTGAAAGTTGAGTTGGGCAGCATTACACATATCCTGGTGAAAAGTAATAAGTCATCTGTGATGCATTGGTGTAGCCTCATCAGTGCAATGTGGAGTATACCTCCAACACTTGTAGGTGTATAAGGGGATAATCCTGCACCAAACTCTAGGAATATCAGCAGAGTATAGAATACAGCATAAAAGAAACTTTTAACATACCACTAGTGATTAAAATTGATACTGTTGATATAAGCTAAATTAAAATGAAGTAGTTACACATGAGTCAGTGTAAACCTTTGCATAAATGTTTTGATAGGACTTTGTGTTGTTAAATGTGTAATACGATATCATAGCCTGTTAAGTTGGATGCGTTGTCAAGTTCTTGTGTACCTGTTTCCTCCTACAGGGTGTACGTTAGTTGTGTAGGGTGGTACATATCTGGGTGGAGATATTCCATGAACGTTTAGTATAACATAAGGAACCTTAACATGCCACTTGTATATAGAATTGACATTTTAGACAGTAAGAGTTCAAAGTAGATGATAACTTGGCGATCTACATATAGACTGATATTGAATAGGTAAATAAGTAGTAGTTAAATCTGTGGGGCTAGAGCAGGCACTGAGTACCATTCGAGGATGGTGTCCCAGTACACCCCGAACCCGGTTGGCCGTACCCCTGACTCCAGTAGTGGTCACTCGTCCCTCCGCAGACCGAGTGGAGCTAATCTCGGACCTGCCCCGGTGTTTGGTGAGAAGACGGTAGTTCTGGGCGACAGCAACTGGACCCCGCGTGTCCCGCCCCCCCTGACCCCGTGTGGTCCCGCCCCCCCTGACCCCGGTGTGGTCCCGCCCCCCCTGACCCGGTGTGGTCCCGCCCCCCCCCTGACCCCGGTGTGGTCCCGCCCCCCCTGACCCCGGTGTGGTCCCGCCCCCCCTGACCCCGGTGTGGTCCCGCCCCCCTGACCCCGTGTGGTCCCGCCCCCCCCTGACCCCGGTGTGGTCCCGCCCCCCCCTGACCCCGGTGTGGTCCCGCCCCCCCTGACCCCGGTGTGGTCCCGCCCCCCCCCTGACCCCGGTGTGGTCCCCGCCCCCCCTGACCCCGGTGTGGTCCCCCCCCCCTGACCCCGGTGTGGTCCCGCCCCCCCCCTGACCCCGGTGTGGTCCGCGCCCCCCCTGACCCCGGTGTGGTCCCGCCCCCCCCTGACCCCGGTGTGGTCCCGCCCCCCCCTGACCCCGGTGTGGTCCCGCCCCCCCTGACCCCGGTGTGGTCCCGCGCCCCCCCTGACCCCGGTGTGGTCCCGCCCCCCCTGACCCCGGTGTGGTCCCGCCCCCCCCTGACCCCGGTGTGGTCCCGCCCCCCCTGACCCCGGTGTGGTCCCGCCCCCCCTTGACCCCGGTGTGGTCCCGCCCCCCCTGACCCCGGTGTGGTCCCGCCCCCCCTGACCCCGGTGTGGTCCCGCCCCCCCTGACCCGGTGTGGTCCCGCCCCCCCTGGACCCGGTGTGGTCCCGCCCCCCTGACCCCGGTGTGGTCCCGCCCCCCCCTGACCCCGGTGTGGTCCCGCCCCCCCTGACCCCGGTGTGGTCCCGCCCCCCCTGACCCCGGTGTGGTCCCGCCCCCCCCTGACCCCGGTGTGGTCCCGCCCCCCTGACCCCGGTGTGGTCCCGCCCCCCCTGACCCCGGTGTGGTCCCGCCCCCCCTGACCCCGGTGTGGTCCCGCCCCCCCTGACCCCGGTGTGGTCCCGCCCCCCCTGACCCCGGTGTGGTCCCGCCCCCCCTGACCCCGGTGTGGTCCCGCCCCCCCCTGACCCCGGTGTGGTCCCGCCCCCCCTGACCCGGTGTGGTCCCGCCCCCCCTGACCCCGGTGTGGTCCCGCCCCCCCTGACCCGGTGTGGTCCCGCCCCCCCTGACCCCGGTGTGGTCCCGCCCCCCCTGACCCCGGTGTGGTCCCGCCCCCCCTGACCCCGGTGTGGTCCCGCCCCCCCTGACCCCGGTGTGGTCCCGCCCCCCCTGACCCCGGTGTGGTCCCGCCCCCCCCTGACCCCGGTGTGGTCCCGCCCCCCCTGACCCCGGTGTGGTCCCGCCCCCCCCTGACCCGGTGTGGTCCCGCCCCCCCCTGACCCGGTGTGGTCCCGCCCCCCCCTGACCCCGGTGTGGTCCCGCCCCCCCTGACCCCGGTGTGGTCCCGCCCCCCCCTGACCCCGGTGTGGTCCCGCCCCCCCTGACCCGGTGTGGTCCCGCCCCCCCTGACCCGGTGTGGTCCCGCCCCCCCTGACCCCGGTGTGGTCCCGCCCCCCCTGACCCCGGTGTGGTCCCGCCCCCCCCTGACCCCGGTGTGGTCCCGCCCCCCCTGACCCGGTGTGGTCCCGCCCCCCCCTGACCCCGGTGTGGTCCCGCCCCCCCTGACCCCGGTGTGGTCCCGCCCCCCCCTGACCCCGGTGTGGTCCCGCCCCCCCTGACCCCGGTGTGGTCCCGCCCCCCCCCCTGACCCCGGTGTGGTCCCGCCCCCCCCTGACCCCGGTGTGGTCCCGCCCCACCCCCCTGACCCCGGTGTGGTCCCGCCCCCCCCTGACCCCGGTGTGGTCCGCCCCCCCCCTGACCCCGGTGTGGTCCCGCCCCCCCCCTGACCCCGGTGTGGTCCCGCCCCCCCCCCCTGACCCCGGTGTGGTCCCGGCCCCCCCCCCGACCCCGGTGTGGTCCCGGCCCCCCCCCCCGACCCCGGTGTGGTCCCGGCCCCCCCCCGACCCCGGTGTGGTCCCGGCCCCCCCCTGACCCCGGTGTGGTCCCGGCCCCCCCCTGACCCCGGTGTGGTCCCGGCCCCCCCCTGACCCCGGTGTGGTCCCGGCCCCCCCCTGACCCCGGTGTGGTCCCGGCCCCCCCCTGACCCCGGTGTGGTCCCGGCCCCCCCTGACCCCGGTGTGGTCCCGCCCCCCCTGACCCCGGTGTGGTCCCGGCCCCCCCCCTGACCCCGGTGTGGTCCCCCCCTGACCCCGGTGTGGTCCCCCCCCTGACCCCGGTGTGGTCCCCCCCCCTGACCCGGGTGTGGTCCCGCCCCCCCCCTTGACTCCGGGTGGTCCCGCCCCCCCCCCTTGACCCCGGGGTGGTCCCGCCCCCTTGACCCGGGGTGGTCCCGCCCCCTTGACCCCGGGGTGGTCCCGCCCCCCTTGACCCCGGGGTGGTCCCGCCCCCCTTGACCCCGGGGTGGTCCCGCCCCCCTTGACCCCGAGGTGTCCCCCCGTCAGGGGACATCTTACTCCTAGCTACCAAGTAAACTGTTTTGCATGTTATCACACCAACTGGAAGTTACTCACAAGAGCCACATGTAAGCCTTGGAGAAACAACCTGGGGTGTCGGCAGTTCTTGCTAATTTTGAATCTTACAAATGGGCAGTACGTAGAGAAATGTCCAAACTTCGTATGATTGGTATTTAAAGTTTAGTAATGCTCGTAGCTTCTGGTTTTGACAGGAGGGGAGAGTCCTCTGCTCTAACTCACCACTGTTATTATGCACAGGATGTGAGGGAGACTACATATTGAGATGTAAAGATCGTCGTTGGTGTTACACGAAGAAGCAGAAGTGTGATGGCTTAGTTGACTGTCCTGATGCTACTGACGAGAGGAAGTGCGAGTGTCGCTCACGTCTGGGAGAAGACAGGCGCTGTGATGGCATCATTGACTGTCCTGACTTCTCTGACGAGCTGGGATGCTATGGTGGGTTGATGTGCCATGGTATGTAGCAGTGGGTGGGTGTATGTCACTGGGTGTGTAGCAGTGGGTGGGTGTATGTCACGGTGTGTAGCAGTGGGTGGGTGTATGTCACTGGGTGTGTAGCAGTGGGTGGGTGTATGTCACTGGGTGTGTAGCAGTGGGTGGGTGTATGTCACGGTGTGTAGCAGTGGGTGGGTGTATGTCACTGGGTGTGTAGCAGTGGGTGGGTGTATGTCACTGGGTGTGTAGCAGTGGGTGGGTGTCACTGGGTGTGTAGCAGTGGGTGGGTGTATGTCACTGGGTGGGTGTATGTCACTGGGTGGGTGTATGTCACTAGGTGTGTAGCAGTGGGTGGGTGTATGTCACTGGGTGTGTAGCGGTGGGTGTGTCACTGGGTGTGTAGCAGTGGGTGGGTGTATGTCACTGGGTGGGTGTATGTCACTGGGTGTGTAGCAGTGGGTGGGTGTATGTCACTGGGTGTGTAGCAGTGGGTGGGTGTATGTCACTGGGTGTGTAGCAGTGGGTGGGTGTATGTCACTGGGTGTGTAGCAGTGGGTGGGTGTCACTGGGTGTGTAGCAGTGGGTGGGTGTATGTCACTGGTGGGTGTAGTCACTGGGTGGGTGTATGTCACTAGGGTGTGTAGCAGTGGGTGGGTGTATGTCACTGGGTGTGTAGCGTGGGTGTGTCACTGTGTGTGTACATGGGTGGGTGTATGTCACTGTAGCAGTGGGTGGTGTATGTCACTGGTGTGTAGCAGTGTGGTGTATGTCACTGGTGTGTAGTCAGTGGGTGGGTGTACACTGGGTGTGTAGCAGTGGGTGGGTGTTGTCACTGGGTGGGTGTATGTCACTGGGTGGGTGTATGTCACTAGGTGTGTAGCAGTGGGTGGGTGTATGTCACTGGGTGTGTAGCGTGAGGTGTGTCACTGGGTGTGTGCAGTGGGTGGGTGTATGCACTGGGTGGGTGTATGTCACTGGGTGTGTAGCAGTGGGTGGGTGTATGTCACTGGGTGTGTAGCAGTGGGTGGGTGTATGTCACTGGGTGTGTAGCAGTGGGTGGGTGTATGTCACTGGGTGTGTAGCAGTGGGTGGGTGTATGTCACTGGGTGTGTAGCAGTGGGTGGGTGTATGTCACTGGGTGTGTAGCAGTGGGTGGGTTGTCACTGGGTGTGTAGCAGTGGGTGGGTGTATGTCACTGGGTGGTGTAGTCACTGGGTGGGTGTATGTCACTAGGTGTGGTAGCAGTGGGTGGGTGATGTCACTGGGTGGTGTAGCGGTGGGTGTGTCATGGGTGGTAGCAGTGGGTGGGTGTATGTCAACTGGGTGGGTGTATGTCATGGGTGGTAGCAGTGGGTGGGTGTATGTCACGGTGATGTAGCAGTGGGTGGGTGTATGTCAGGGTGGTAGCAGTGGGTGGGTGTATGTCATGGGTGGGTAGCAGTGGGTGGGTGTCACTGGGTTGTGCAGTGGGTGGGTGTATGTCACTGGGTGGTGTATGTCACTGGGTGGGTGTATGTCATAGGTGTGTAGCAGTGGGTGGGTGTATGTCACTGGGTGTGTAGCGGTGGGTGTGTCACTGGGTGTGTAGCAGTGGGTGGGTGTATGTCACTGGGTGTGGTAGCAGTGGGTGGGTGTATGTCACTGGGTGTGTAGCAGTGGGTGGGTGATGTATGTCACTGGGTGTGTAGCAGTGGGTGGTGTCATGGGTGTGTAGCAGTGGGTGGGTGTATGTCACTGGGTGGGTGTATGTCAGGGTGGGTGTATGTCACTAGGTGTGTAGCAGTGGGTGGGTGTCATGTATGGTGTCACTGGGTGTGTAGCAGTGGGTGGGGTAGTCATGGTGTGTAGCACTGGGTGGGTAGCAGTGGGTGGGCTGTATGTCACTGGGTGTGTAGCAGTGGGTGGGTGTGTATGTCACTGGGTGTGGGTAGCAGTGGGTGGGTGCATGTATGTCACTGGGTGGGTAGCAGTGGGTGGGTGTATGTCACTGGGTGTGTAGCAGTGGTGGGGTGTATGTCACTGGGTGTGTAGCAGTGGGTGGGTGTATGTCACTGGGTGTGTAGCAGTGGGTGGGCATGTATGTCACTGGGTGGGTAGCAGTGGGTGGGTGTATGTCACTGGGTGGGTAGCAGTGGGTGGGTGTATGTCACTGGGTGTGTAGCAGTGGGTGGGTGTATGTCACTGGGTGGTAGCAGTGGGTGGGTGCATGTCACTGGGTGGGTTAGCAGTGGGTGGGTGCATGTCAGTGGGTGGGTAGCAGTGGGTGGGTGCATGTCACTGGGTGGGTAGCAGTGGGTGGGTGCATGTATGTCAGTGGGTGGGTAGCAGTGGGGGGTGCATGTATGTCAGTGGGTGGGTAGCAGTGGGTGGGTGCATGTATGTCAGTGGGTGGGTAGCAGTGGGTGGGTGCATGTATGTCATGGGTGGGTAGCAGTGGGTGGGTGCATGTATGTCAGTGGGTGGGTAGCAGTGGGTGGGTGCATGTATGTCATGGGTGGGTAGCAGTGGGTGGGTGCATGTATGTACTGGGTGGGTAGCAGTGGGTGGGTGCATGTATGTCCTGGGTGGGTAGCAGTGGGTGGGTGCATGTATGTCACTGGGTGGGTAGCAGTGGGTGGGTGCATGTATGTCACTGGGTGGGTAGCAGTGGGTGGGTGCATGTATGTCACTGGGTGGGTAGCAGTGGGTGGGTGCATGTATGTCACTGGGTGGGTAGCAGTGGGTGGGTGCATGTAGTGTCACTGGGTGGGTTTGCAGTGGATGTGGGTGCATGTATGTCACTAGGTGGGTAGCAGTGGTGGTGCATGCTGGTGGTGTACTGGTAAGTTTCACTGGGTAGGTAGCAGTGGGTGGGTGCATGTATGTCACTGGGTGGGTAGCAGGTGGGTGGGTGCAATGTATGTCATGGGTGGGTAGCAGTGGTGGTGCATGATGTCAACTGGGTGGGTACAGTGGTGGGTGCATGTATGTCACTGGGTGGGTAGCTAGTGGGTGGGTGCATGTATTCACTGGGTGGGTAGCAGTGGGTGGGTGCATGTATTCACTGGGTGGTACAGTGGGTGGGTGCATGTATGTCACGGGTGGGTAGCAGTGGGTGGTGCTATGTATGTCACTGGGTGGTAGCAGTGGTCTGGGTGATGTAATGTCACTGGTGGGTAGCAGTGGGTGGTTGCATGTATGTCATCTGGGTGGGTAGCAGTGGGTGGGTGCATGTATGTCACTGGGTGGGTAGCAGTGGTTGGGTGCATGTATGTCACTGGGTGGGTAGAGTGGGTGGGTGCATGTATGTCAACTAGTGGGTAGCCAGTGGGTGGGTGCATGTATGTCACTGTGGTAAGCAGTTGTGCATGTATGTCACTGGGTGGGTACCAGTGGTGGTGCTTTATGTCACTGAGGTGGGTAGCATGGTGGGTGCAGTCATGGGTGGCGCAGTGTGGTGGGTCAGTGGTGGTATTACTGACGTGGCTGTGCGAGACGTTGGGTTATGACTCGGTAAGACACTGTCAATGAAAACTTCAAAAGTTTTCGCCGGTGAAACTACGTAGGTCTCCAGGTGAAACTACGTAGGTCTCCAGGTGAAACTACGTAGGTCTCCAGGTGAAACTACGTAGGTCTCCAGGTGAAACTACGTAGGTCTCCAGGTGAAACTACGTAGGTCTCCAGGTGAAACTACGTAGGTCTCCAGGTGAAACTACGTAGGTCTCCAGGTGAAACTACGTAGGTCTCCAGGTGAAATGTTAAAGTTTCACTTCTGCTTATGTTCATTTTTATTCAGTTTTTGTAACCTCATTTCCAAGGCTGTGATGTTTAGCAGAGTCAGCCGGTGCCATGTTTAGCAGAGTCAGCCGGTGCCATGTTTAGCAGTCAGCCGGTGCCATTGTGAGGAGGAACTTGATAGGCTGGGAGACTGTTAATTCCCATTACATTAATGGTATAAAATTTTGAAAAATGCACGTGTATGTAACATTAAGCTGCCCAGTGTTGCCTGTGTTATTCATGGAATCTTTAGGTTATAGATGAATTAAAGCCCCCCTTTAGAACTTTCACTATTTTTACATTAACTTTATGTTGACTCTAATTTTGTAAAGTTAGTTCAGATGGTACCTGGCTACTTGATTCAACTCTTTAATGGACTTTTGCTGTCTAGAATAATTTAGGCCAAAAATATTAAAACTACTACGCTTTTACCTAAAAATTTCTTCTTAACATTAAACTCTCACCCTTACGGGTTTATAGTTTGGTTATGATAAATTGTCACTTATAATCAAAGATCTGAAAGTAAATTAGCACCCATTCAACCCTCGTAAGCAGCTTTTTTCCTGGTCATGCTTCATGGTTAGGCGAAATTAGTGGTGAAACCAGTTTCCTGACCCGGGTCTTATAGGATGACCCCACAGCTGGAGCTTTTGGTCATCTGACAGAGGCCTTCTACTGGCTTACCTCTCCAACACTAAATTTTTTTTATAATTGAAACCCAGGATGCATGGCTGGCCAGCTGTGGTGCAAGATGAGAGAGGAAGCGCACTGTGTGAAGAAATCTCAAATGTGTGACGGCCATATTAACTGTGATGGTGGTGAGGACGAAGTGTTCTGCAGCAGACTCTCCCTACAGCAGGTAGACCACACGGTGAGGACGACTGTTGTACATGTCGTGGTAGAATTTTGATTATACCAAGCACTTAGTAACCTAACAGTAGCATCGCTCTAGCAGTCTCTACTGCTGCTCTCACCTGCTTCAGTGTAGAGTAGATTACTGCATTCTGGTAACTTACAACTGGATGTTAGTATGCCTGTTAGCGGTCATAACTTACAACTGGATGTTAGTATGCTGCGCTCTTAGATGTGCCTGTTAGCGGTCATAACTTACAACTGGATGTTAGTATGCTGTATAAGAAAAACATGTGCAAGAACATCTGGATATCTTTATTGTAGTAGACGTTTCGCCATCCAGTGGCTTTATCAATACAGATTCTAGGACATATTATGTCCTAGAATCTGTATTGATAAAGCCACTGGATGGCGAAACGTCTACTACAATAAAGATATCCAGATGTTGCACATGTGTCTTAACTTTCATGCCTGTTAGCGGTCATAACTTACAACTGGATGTTAGTATGCCTGTTAGCGGTCATAACTTACAACTGGATGTTAGTATGCCTGTTAGCGGTCATAACTTACAACTGGATGTTAGTATGCCTGTTAGGGGTCATAACTTACAACTGGATGTTAGTATGCCTGTTAGCGGCCATAACTTTTTAATGATTTTGTTTATAACCGTGTTCGTATCTTTTTTTAAGGTGCGTATTGTATATATTGCTGTAAGTGACCCACAGTGACCTGTTTGACTATTTCAAAGGTGGTGTCTGTGCCTACCTAGCACTATCTAACTTTATTATTTTTTAAATACACTACCTAACAGAATACTCCATTCTACTGAATGTACAACAATGCATACAACCATATGACCTGTCTTTGTAATACTCACTTGTGCTTTATAGTAATCTGTTTACATTAAAGTTTTATCAATGATGTCATCATTGCTTAGTTCATCTTAAGTTATTTTAAGCAGCCGTAATGCTATGCTGTAAGTGGCTTGGCATGCTGCTCTTAATCTATTTTTGACCTCTGTATGTCTAAATTTTTAAATAAATAAATAAATAAATAATAAATATTAAATTGGATTTTCCATGACGTGCTGGTAGTACTGATACACACTGTGCACAGTAACTTCACACTGTACCAGTATGTGCCATCAGTAAATTCACATGTACAGACTGTAAAGTAACCATCACACGTACAGTCACTGTACACAGTAAATCACACTGTACCAGTCATGTACACATACATCACACTGTACAGTACTGTCACAGTACATCACACTGTACAGTCACTGTACCACAGTAACCATCACACTGTACCAGTCACTGTGCCACAGTAACCATCACACTGTACCAGTCACTGTGCCACAGTAACCATCACACTGTACCAGTCACTGTACCACAGTAACCATCACACTGTACCAGTCACTGTACCACAGTAACCATCACACTGTACCAGTCACTGTACCACAGTAACCATCACACTGTACCAGTCACTGTACCACAGTAACCATCACACTGTACCAGTCACTGTACCACAGTAACCATCACACTGTACCAGTCACTGTACCACAGTAACCATCACACTGTACCAGTCACTGTGCCACAGTAACCATCACACTGTACCAGTCACTGTGCCACAGTAACCATCACACTGTACCAGTCACTGTGCCACAGTAACCATCACACTGTACCAGTCACTGTGCCACAGTAACCATCACACTGTACCAGTCACTGTGCCACAGTAACCATCACACTGTACCAGTCACTGTGCCACAGTAACCATCACACTGTACCAGTCACTGTGCCACAGTAACCATCACACTGTCCCAGTCACTGTGCCACAGTAACCATCACACTGTACCAGTCACTGTGCCACAGTAACCATCACACTGTACCAGTCACTGTGCCACAGTAACCATCACACTGTACCAGTCACTGTGCCACAGTAACCATCACACTGTACCAGTCACTGTGCCACAGTAACCATCACACTGTACCAGTCACTGTGCCACAGTAACCATCACACTGTACCAGTCACTGTGCCACAGTAACCATCACACTGTACCAGTCACTGTGCCACAGTAACCATCACACTGTACCAGTCACTGTGCCACAGTAACCATCACACTGTACCAGTCACTGTGCCACAGTAACCATCACACTGTACCAGTCACTGTGCCACAGTAACCATCACACTGTACCAGTCACTGTGCCACAGTAACCATCACACTGTACCAGTCACTGTGCCACAGTAACCATCACACTGTACCAGTCACTGTGCCACAGTAACCATCACACTGTACCAGTCACTGTGCCACAGTAACCATCACACTGTACCAGTCACTGTGCCACAGTAACCATCACACTGTACCAGTCACTGTGCCACAGTAACCATCACACTGTACCAGTCACTGTGCCACAGTAACCATCACACTGTACCAGTCACTGTGCCACAGTAACCATCACACTGTACCAGTCACTGTGCCACAGTAACCATCACACTGTACCAGTCACTGTGCCACAGTAACCATCACACTGTACCAGTCACTGTGCCACAGTAACCATCACACTGTACCAGTCACTGTGCCACAGTAACCATCACACTGTACCAGTCACTGTGCCACAGTAACCATCACACTGTACCAGTCACTGTGCCACAGTAACCATCACACTGTACCAGTCACTGTGCCACAGTAACCATCACACTGTACCAGTCACTGTGCCACAGTAACCATCACACTGTACCAGTCACTGTGCCACAGTAACCATCACACTGTACCAGTCACTGTGCCACAGTAACCATCACACTGTACCAGTCACTGTGCCACAGTAACCATCACACTGTACCAGTCACTGTGCCACAGTAACCATCACACTGTACCAGTCACTGTGCCACAGTAACCATCACACTGTACCAGTCACTGTGCCACAGTAACCATCACACTGTACCAGTCACTGTGCCACAGTAACCATCACACTGTACCAGTCACTGTGCCACAGTAACCATCACACTGTACCAGTCACTGTGCCACAGTAACCATCACACTGTACCAGTCACTGTGCCACAGTAACCATCACACTGTACCAGTCACTGTGCCACAGTAACCATCACACTGTACCAGTCACTGTGCCACAGTAACCATCACACTGTACCAGTCACTGTGCCACAGTAACCATCACACTGTGCCTCTTCTGATAGTCTTCAGATATTCAGTACTAATATTTACCTGCCTTGTAACTTTATACAGCACTGTACTAGCAGTCTCGCGTGCATTGAGGTAGAAGAGGCAGAGTTTATAGGATACGGGGATACTTTTATCACATCGTGAAGCCAACGAACATTTCTAAGATTATTTAGACTTGGCAGTGCCCCACAAGCTTTATTACATAAATACCAACAAGTGACCTTTAAAATGCCTGTGGTGTTATAATTTAATGTTATGTACTGCAGATGATCCCGAGCATGCGTAAGGAAGGTTATTTGCAGGTGAAGAGGAACGGAGAATGGCTTCCCTTCTGTGGTCACCTTAAACAGAAATTTAAAAAAATCATTGTTGATCTCTGTGACGAGGTTGTCGGTGAGAGGTAAGTTGTAGTTACTAGTGAGGTTTATAGTGCATTCACACGACACGGTAAAAATATATTGAAATTGTTGTTCCTGATCAGCAGGGCTGTGCTTCTTAGGTCGGTTTACGTGCGGCCAGCAGTAACCCTGATCCACCACGAGGCCTGGTCTCAGACCGGGCCGCGGGGGCGTTGACCCCCGAAACCCCCTCCCGGTATACTCCAGGTGGTTAACAAGAACTTGAATGTATTCCTGCTCATTCTTTCGTTCATATAATTGTTGTGCATAAATTAAGTGGTCTTCAAATTCTTAATGTAGTTAATGTAAATGTTTTTAAAATCAGGGGCTGTTGTGACATTCTAATTCCCAGAAAATCCTTCTATGAAGACCCGGGAGGGGGGAGTAATCTCTAGCATGTTAGGAGCGTCAGTAAGACAATGGTAGTAATAGTAGAAATAGTTTCAGACCAATGTCACTAGAATGTTCCTGACGACCTGAACCACCCTGTCTGTCCATTTAGACTAAATACGCAATAAGCCAGTGAAAAAAGGCTAATGTCTTTACGTTATTCTAGACAAAATTGTTAATGGTAGCCTGGAGGCCTGTCTGTGGAAGATTTTTTTTTTTTAGATTTTGCCACCGAAGTGGCTAGTTTATTGTGCACCCCATATCCATCCTGTGGACGGTAGCGCGAGAGCATATGGATACACAAAAGGCCTAGGAACTAGGCCCCAAAGGGTTAACAGGAATACATATGGATTTATATCTACATATCTATAGTTCACTTATCTGTTACAAGCAAATTTAGGAAATTTTCTTAGTATATCTGGTATCTTATTTTCATTAATAAGATATCTTGACATGTCACATAGGTTATTATACTGTCTCTCTGTATTCCTCAATAAGTGGACAATTAAGCACAGTGTTCAAGAGAGTGACTATATGCCTGATCACATAATTTACATTTAGTTTGATCATCATCTGTGTGTCTCCCAAACTGCCAGAAGTACTTGTAACCAAGCCTAAGCCTGGCCACTACAACATCAGTCAGTCTGTTCACATTGCAAGTTGCTCCATTAACATACTTATCTACGTTCATGTTATCATAGTGGGTTATAGATCTACTCAGGCTTCTAACTGCATTCCTATAACAATCATTTTCATTATTTACTTCTCTCCTAATATTATTCCTAATGCTAGACAGTTATACCAAAGTTATATTCTACATTCTCCTTCTCGATACTCTTCTTGGCTAACATCAACTTTATCATGAAGGAGTAATCCAATGTGTGATGGGATCCATAGCAATTGTACATTAATTCCTTTGTCCCTAATTTTTGAGTATCTATACCTGGCTTCCCCAATGAGCATGTTGTTGGAGTCATTATATGAGCCAAGAGCCTTCAATAATGACATAGAATCAGTAATGATGATAGTCAAGCTCAGTGTCATAGGTTAGCTTTAGCGCCATTAGGATTGCAAACAATTCAGTTTGCAGTGTAGACGCCCAGTTGTTAATTCTTATGCCTAACTCAACAAATTTATTATCGTTCTTAACTAGGGAGGTGGCAACAAGAGCAGATGCAGCCCTGCCAGAAGACTCCTGTTTAGATCCATCAGTGTATATAACTTGTGATAACTTGTTACTACCAGCTAGGTGAGAAATTTCTTCTTGAGCAGTTGCTCTAACAAGAGATTTAAGGAAGGGATTACTAGCAATGAGCTTCTTGGGAGGGACTTGTAGGTATGTGATATTAAATGAACACATCATCCATGGAGGGGTGAAATGCTCTTGTTGCCTACAGTGATACAGTTCATGCAGGTTATAAAACTTAATGCAATTGCACGTTTTCACAATCCATTTAGATCTGTGTGTATTTACCTCTAGACACTTGGTAAGATTCACTGTGACAGTGTCTGGTTCGTTTCTCAACATTCTAATACCGAGTACAGTGTTAATTTCAACAATCCTATCACTGATACTAGAAATACCAAGCTCCTTCCTCATGTTAAGAACTTTTGTAGATCTGGGACAGCCAAGAATAATCCTGAGAGCTTCATTTTGCATTAACTCCAAGGGTTAATGTCTGTGGAATGTTAAGGTAAATCTGTATAAAACCTCTTAACTTAAAATCCAATTTTGCTGCAGTAAATAATGTGAAGTTAATGTATTGCTTGAATGAAAAAAAAAATCATTAATGCGACTTAACTGGGTGAGGTTGGACGCGTATTGCAGGTCAGTGTACAACGTCCAGATTAAGTACAAACATCTTACTAACCGTATTGCATGTTGAGTGATATAATGCAAATCTCGTTAAGACCGAATGAGTGGTTACAGCAGGTTGCAAGACTTCTCATGGCTTTCCTCAGTTTCTGCGGACTGCTTTCTCTATATACCCCAGCTTGTTTATGCAAAAGAACAACCAATCCATCTTTACTAAATATGTATGGATTAATAAAAACTAACCAGGTAATCCAACCAGACCCATTATTAGCTCCATACGTTGTTTCCTATAAATTTAATTTAACTAAGCTTTTTCGAATTTTGAAGTAAAGCCCATGTGCATTTTAACCTAGGTGAAATTTTTTTTGACCCTTCTGATATTGACTGCTTCCTGCTTTCTCTTATCAGAGAGGCTGAAGACTCCTATAGACTGACTGCTCTCAGTCCCGGCATAGTACCTGAAGAAATAATCTGGACACACTGGGATGACTCGGCGGAGATGATCTACGTATCCAAGGGCTGCTCCTCTAAGCTTGGAGTGTACGCTACCTGTAGCAACCCAGTGTGTGCTAGCGACTTTCCTAACAGGCAACGCAGGCAGGCAGGTAGGTGGTGCGCTAGTGCCGAGATATGCACACTTGAGGCTGTTTGGAAGTGGCAATAAGATGTACGCATTTTGAAAACTATCCACCACTGTTATATGGAACAGAGATAGAAAATGACTACCTTTGGGGTCTAACCAGAGATCCATTATGTATGTAATCCTGTCTTTTGTGCCGTTTTGCACCTGCAAGTCGCTTGAGGGTGCACAGTAAACCAGGCTTCATAAAGTAAAAAGAAAAAGCAACGTAAACAGAAGATTTCAGATGCTAGGGCCCCTTTGGATTAAGTTGTTCTGCCCCGGACAGGTGATAAAAATCGAGGGATGAGCGTTAGAGAGGCCGTCCACCGCGTCCGCCGGGACCACGGTCAAATGAGAATTGTCGGTGGAGAAGAGTCTTTGGAGGACGTGTGGACGTTCTTGGCTAGCCTGGTGAGGAATGGCCAGCATGGATGTGGTGGTACAATCCTCAGCTCGGAATGGATACTCACGGCTGCACATTGCTGTATGGGGTGGGTAGCAGGTTGCAGTTGTTGCAAGAGATTTAAGTGCATAATTCAAGACAGGTCTTGCCAATTAGTGAGGATGTTTTGTCAGTCTACAGTCTTGCGCCCTCGAATAATTATTCATTACAGGTGGTTGAGCAAGCTGACAGACGTACAGGTAGGGATGCTGCGCGTAAATTCCTTTTCACCATTCGAACAGACATCAGTTTCTTCTCAAGTCTTCGTCCATGAAGACTACGACTCTAAACACGTCAGGAACGACGTGGCCCTCATAAAGCTGGGAACACCTTTGCAGCTTAACAGGTAAACAGAGTACGGGTGATCTTTATTAAAGATAGGGGGAGGGGCAAGAGGCTGTCTAGAGAAATCCTTGTCCATATTGACTTCACACTAGCAGAGAAGCCTTTCGACTAAGTTTTAAAGCTAAGACTTTAGCTTTCTTTGCCAAAACAAAAATGAAGCATAGCTTTTCAGTTTAGCACTGCCCTGAGTGTGAGAGCACCTTTGTCCAAGATAACTTCGTAACTTAGGAAAATGAGCTCGATTGCAACATTGATAGTGACATTTATTCGCTGTACCCACCTCTGTTTTCCCATGTTGACACAGGTGGGTACGTCCAGTGTGTTTGGACACCCAGTCAGAGTTCAGTGCCGGAGACTTGTGTTATGTAGCTGGCTGGGGTAACCTGGCAGAGAACACTACAGAGACGCGTGAGTGACACTTTGGCACTTGTAAAAAGCGACACTTTGACTTTAATATTTACAAAATTGTCCACTATCTCACATAACCTCTCATCGCTGTTGACCTTCTTGCCCTGTAGATACAAAGTCCCAGCACTACTACTATAATCTTCTTTCCCCTACCTTATATCAGCCGACCACCTACAGCAAGTTGCTATACCTATCATGCCAACTTGTAAACGCCACTTCAACACCATCAAGGACGAAGAGGTTATCTGTGCCGGCTTCAAGGATGGCAAGAGAGATTCCTGCCAGGGAGACTCTGGTGGTCCACTCTTTTGCAAAGGGTAAACATGCTTTCTGGCAACTTTGAACTTTTCTTCGTGGCCCCATTTCTGAAATTCCTCTGCACAACCAGTTTTTGGAAAGTCTGGTTCATTAATCCTAAAGCGATAATTTGGTCATGGTAAGATGACCAACACTAGTCCATATCTAAGCCTAGTTTGCGTATATATTTTCCCCTTGCCTTCCTTTCTCGCTGCAGTCTACTAGGTGTTTGGCCTTCCCTGATAAGTAACAATTAACCCCCGTCCACAGGTCGTCTGGGTGGAGACAGGTGGGTGTGGTATCCTTCGGTGTGGGGTGTGCCAGGTCAGACAGTCCTGGTGTTTACACAAGAGTTGTCCACTACCTTCCATGGATACGGGCCAAGATAGGTGCGTTTTCTGCACCAAATGCCACTCATACCTGTGGCATCAACGTTACTCTGGCGTTTGAGCAAGACTGATCCACTAAACTTGTTTACACGCCTTACGGCTTAATACAGGATCTATAGGGTGTTTGAATAATAAATTCAAGTATACACTTTAAAATTTATTAAACGTCAAGGATAGGTTGATTTTTCAGTAGTTGTAACTACAGCAAATTTAATATACTAATAACCATGAGTAAGTTGCCGTAAATGTCTGTTCAAATGATTGTTGGACCACTTGTTCACTTACCTTAATAAATTAGTCTAAATTGTCTTCTCAAATTAGACATGTTAAATCTGAAAAGCCTTTGTAACCTAATTCTTTACCCCCCCATCCCCCCCCAAAAAAAAAAAAAATCTTGGTCTGTTTAAGACCCCTCGGTATCTGGTTTAATTCCTAGTGTTCAACAGATAAATTTGTTTAGTTAGTTTATTTGCTCATTGTTTGTGCTTTTAAGATTTTCTCATCGTATTCGCACATTTTTAATCTTTTTTCCTGCGCTAACATTACATGAAGGAGGGAAACACTGAATATTTTTATTACATAGTTTAAGAAAGATTGTGACTTAATTATAAGGATTGTTCACTGAAACAGATGTACCAATGTTAGTTTTAAAATACACAATACTGTGTGCTTTTCTCCCCCACAAGATGCAGACTTGAAGAAACTGCATACAAGTGTTGGGTAAAGACTGCAACAGTCACGCCTACACATTAGTCTACTGAGAACAGCTTAGTGAGGTGAAGGGTCAGATCAGGTGGTTTTTAAGACTGTTAAGACTTCAAAAAGCTGTTACAGGCTAAGACTCGTAAATTCGATTACTCAAGAGGGACAGGTGGCAGAGGATACACAAATAAGGTTAGATAAGAGTTTACATTGGAAATGCAGAGGATTTTGCAAGTTAAACTACGATGGTTGTCTTCTAGCAATGCCGCCTCCAGCTTCATCCGTTGCATTAAAATGCAACTTGATATATTAATAAGGTTGGAGAATAAGAGGGCAGCTATAGATTTGTCCCGTAGCTCGATCGCTAGCGCACTCGGCTCGCTCACTGACGTCCGGAGTTCGAATCTCCGGTACGGCTGGAAAATATTAGGGACGTGTTTCTGTAAAACACCTGCTGTCCCTGTTCACCCATCAGTATAAAATGGGTACCTGGGCGTTAGACTGGTGTGGGGTGGCATCCTGGGACAAAACAAGCGGCTTTCTTTATAGCGGTACGTTAGTCATCTATGGTCTGTATACCTTGTACATGTAGAAATATATATTATATTATTATGACTGCCCCGTGGGCTGATAGGTAAAGCTTTCACACGGAGGGTCTGCGTTCGATTCCCAGCGCGAGTAAAAAACCCTTGGGATTTTTTTCTTTAGCCCTGGGGTGTTATGTGGAGGTCTCCCCTTAAAGGATCAAAACATTGTATCAATCGCATCTGCTGAAAATGACAGGATGGATAATGAAAACCTTCGAACTAGGGGGGGCCCAAGCCCATGATAACTCTTAGGTCACTTGTTCTATCTAGGCGGGATATTGCTGCACACTAACAGGCCTTTCAAGGAGTGAAATTGGGACCTAGAAAATGTAAAGAGAAACTTTCACGGTGCGCATAACGGAGATAAAACACCTAAATTATGGGAGGTTTGGGGTTCCCCAAACCTTTTTCCCTGGAACGCAGGGGGAGAGATACATGATTATTACACCGGAAAATCTAGAGGACTAGTACGAATTGACCAAAAATCCTCACTAGAAAGCAAAAGACTTGCAGACGATGCACCACCCCCCCCAATAAAAGCAGGGGTGTCATTTACCTTTTAAAGGGACCTACAATAAGTGTCGGGGGCCCGGACTGTTCAACTCCCCTCCCGCACACAAGGGGGTTACCAACGGACCCCTGGCATTTAAGCTGGCCTGGACAAGCACCTAAAGTCAGTTCCGGTCAGGGGGTGGCTGTACTTGGTTTGCGTGCAGCCAGCAGCAACAGCCGGTTTTCAGGGTTGACCACCAGGAGGCCTGGTCAGACCGGGCCGCGGGGGCGTGATCCCCGGAACTCTTCCAGGTAACTCCGGTTGTCTGTTCACCCCCCACCCAGTAAAATGGGGACCTAGGAGTTACTGGTGTGGGTCGTTCCTGGGAAAGGACCTAATTTGCCCCAAATTCTGCAAACGAGACTTTTTATTTTTTTATTTATTTTTATTTATTAAAATTTAAGCCAAATACAGAGTACAAAAAAAAAGATAAGGCAGCATGCCAAACCACTTATACTAGCAAAGATTACGGGGCTTTAAAAATTAATTAAGATTAACTAAGCAATGATGAATTCAGTGATAAAAATTTAAAGTAAAAAAGATTACTATAAAAAAAATGAGAAAAAAGACGGCAAAAGGTTGCATGCAAAGTTTTTCATTCAGATATGAAGGATTCTGTTAGGTATGTATTTAAAAAAAAAATAAAGTTAACGGTTTTAGGTTTTTAACTTTTGTGATATAATTGTTTAGAAACATTTAAGAATTACAATTTATAAGGTTATTATTAGTTTTATTTGGTTTTGGTTGGGGTAAGGATCTTGAGTAGAGACTTGAATTTTAAAAATTTTGGGTTTTTTTTTATTTATCAGGGAATGAACCAGATTTTTAGGGCCTTTTATGTCATTGAGTTTTTTCATAGTGTGAGATGAACACGAGGAACATCAAAGAGTGATCTGTGCCTTGTGTTATGGTCATGTGTTCTGTTGAGGTTGGCAAGATGATGTTTGAGGGGAGGGTTAATATCAGTTAAGTGTTCTATGTATGTAATAGGTGCAGTAATAAGTATGGATGTTTTGTATGGTGAGTAGGTTTAGTGTATTGAATATTGGTGGAGTGTGCTGCCTGTAGTGAGAATTTATCATTCTAACTGCAGCCTTTTGTTGGGTAATTAGTGGTCTGAGATGGTTAATTGTTGTTGAGCCCCATGCACAAATTCCGTAGGTGAGATAGGGTAAATAAGAGTGATATAGGGCCAGAGGGCTGACTGTGGAACATAGTACCGTATCTTCGATAGTATGCCTACAGTCTTGGAAATTTTCTTAGAAATTTGTTGTATATGTGTATGAAATTTGAGTATTATCAAGGTGGATTCCTAAGAATTTTCCCTCTGTTAGCTTTGTGATAGGTGATCCGTTTATCATTATGTTAAGAGGACATCTGAAGCTCTGTTACCAAACTGAATGAAGTAGGTTTTGTCAATGTTTAGTGTAAGTTTGTTAGTCCTCATCCAGGTCGATATTTTCTGTAATTCGGTATTTACAGTATTGGCTAGTGTGACTGGGCTCGGGTGAGAGAAGACGTATGTAGTGTCATCTGCAAATAGTGTGGGTTTGAGTAATTGCGAAGCATTTGGAAGGTCATTTATGTATAGGAGAAAGAGAAGAGGGCCAAGGACACTTCCCTGTGGGACACCAACTGTAATTGGTTGCGCAGAAGAGTTTGCCCCATTTGCGTACACATATTGGCTTCTGTTGCTGAGGTATGACTTGAGGTAGTTGAGGGAGTGCCCTCTTATACCATAGTGTGACAATTTTACGTGGAGCAAGTCATGGTCAACTTTACAGTAGTATGTCGTTGCTGTCGGCTATGATGAATACCTTGTACATAAGATTTTGTTCGGATTTTTAACCCCGGAGGGTTAGCCACCCAGGATAACCCAAGGAAGTCGGTGGTTCATCAAGGACTGTCTTATTTCCATTGTGGTCCTCAATCTTGTCCCCTAGGATGCCACCCACACCAGTCTACTAACACCCAGGTACCTATTTGCTGCTAGGTGAAAACAGGTGTAAGGAAAAGTGTCCACCCCGCCGGGAATCGAACCCGGGCCCTCAGCGTGTGAAGCGGGATCTTTAGCCACCAGGCTGTGAGGAACTAACTTTACAGAGTTGTCATTGGTTAAATTCTGTATAATTGGTTAAAGGTTCAAAATTGAGGCCCAAATAGTCATTGGTGATAAGTTATATGGTTAACACTGGAGAACTGGAATGCTTTCAGAATGGAGTCTTTTCTTACACCAATTGTCCCTGTTCACCTAGCAGTAAGTAGGTACCTGGGTGTTTGACTGGTGTAGGTGGCATCCTGGGGGACAAAATTAAAGGACCACAATGGAAATAAGTCCCTGATTACTGTTGGATTATCCTGGCTGGTTAACCCTCCCCGGGTCAAAAAAATCCGAGAAATTTATCTTCCGTTATCAGAGCTGCTAACCCTCCGGGTTAATCTGGACAAACTAAAGTTCAAATAATTTTTCTTTTACGTCGTATTCGGATGATTCAGCTGACGTGTACTAAAATGTAAAGTTTATTCAGGTACAGGTACACAAATACGCAATTATCATTCACAACACTGTCAGGCGCAGTCACTAGCACAAGGCTGCTGATCCATTGAACTTAAGCCTTCAATTTTCTTTGCTCGCACCTGAATACCTTCCAGGTGTTATAACCCCTACAGGTTTAGTTATCGCTCGATTACAAAAATTAAGTAAATTGTGAAATTCCTGTAGGTTCCCTACTTAATAGTTATACCTAAAGATGCGTTTTCTGCGATGCTCGTATCATAAAAAAACAATTAATGGGTACACTTGCATGTTCAATGTATTTTGGGGGGTTTATCCTAGTAAGTAAGTTTATTCAGGTATACACAAATAGTTACATAGAATTATCATACATAGCAGCATATGTGTAGAGAACCTAGGATAACCCAAAAAAGTCAGTGACTTATTTCCATTGGGGTCCTTTTACCTTATTATATTATGAAGGTTATAATATTTTCTTATTATTCTACAATGAAGATAACATCTTATTATCATACTAAAAAGACTATCTACTACACCAAGGTCATTAAGACTATCTACAATACGAGGGTCATTACTAGGAATAAGGTAAAATTTACACGCATGTTAGCTAAAAAATAGAAAATCATTCCCCTCCCTTTCTGTAGCTACATTCATCAGACACCTTTTGGCACTCTTCTTGAACTGGTTCATGCTATGACTGGCTTTGACAATACAGTTTACAATACACGACTGTACTTGTGTACCTAAAACTTGCTCAGTAGACAAGTTTTTGTATGAAGTACAATAAATTTATTCTTTGGTTCTTTTAAATTGTTTCATACGAAGACTTGCTTATGATAACTTTCAAATATTCTTGACAGTAACAAATTTGTTGAGCTTCATTTTCTCTTCTAAATTTTCAGTTTTGTGAATCTGATCTACATAATCTTGGTACCTGGGTCCTAATTTTGGGTACTTCATAAGTTTTGTTAAAGCAGAGTACTATGAAAGTTAACTAAAGCATTTTTTAACATGCCTGAACAGGTACACTGCGCCTGTCTAGACTTTAACCTGGTATTTTAAGTAAGCAAGTTTATTCAGGTATATACATAGTTATAGAATTATCATACATAGCATGTGTAAAGAACCTACGATAACCCAAAAAAGTCAGTGACATTTCCATTGGGGTCCTTCAACTTTCTACATTGTTCACTCTAAATTCACCTGACAAGCTAGAATTAGTTTTTTCTTGCATGTGGGATGAATTTAAATGTCTGATATGCTGTCTTAATACTTCCTCTTTACTCGTTGAATTGGATTATTTTTGTAGTACATGTAATAGTTTTACATTGTTTTAAGGATTTCTGTGCACTTGTTAAACGGTCATTGCCGTTCATAAATCTAAATCTTCCTACATTGTTGTTACCATTAATGTTGCAGACAAGATGGACAAGCCCAACAGGGCTGGTCCACTTCCCTGCAAAGGTATTCGCTGTAAATTGAGTTACGGCTCCTGCGCCTCACTGAAGACTGTGTGCAACGGCAAGGTGAGGCCAGGGGCAACCTACCACTTTCATAATTAACTGCATATTTTGTGTAAATTTTACTAAAGTAGCTGTTGCTTTAAGTAGTCATTTATTTTCCTTCATCTTAGATTGACTGCCTGGCTGGTGAAGATGAAAGGAACTGTCCCCAGTACTATGATTTATCCTTCCCGGAAGATAATGTCACGGAAATCGTCCCCACCACAGAGCCCCTCGCACAGCTCGCCACCAACAGTGTGGAGACTTTGTTCACCACTATTACTACTACTGAACAGTCATATTCAGTCAGCTCAAACAATGCAGCTCATGTTCCTAATTTTACTACGACCAGTAATGAAACTGCTCCCAGTCCATCTACAGACAAGAGACCATCTACTGCAACTATTGAGTCGGGCACAGCAGTCTCTCAGTCCTCGGTCAGTAATGCGCGTGCAAACTTTTCTAAGGTTCAGCATCCTCAGAATGACACCAAAGAGAACCAGCAGCTGGCAACTTCAGGTTCAACGGAAAGATCAGATATTGGCCGCATGTGCAAGTATCCAGAGATTCCTGTGTCCTCTCTGAAGACATCGACGAACTGCTCAAGGGAAGAGTTTATCTGTTTAGAGTAAGTGCCTGTCTTGTCTGGAAGGGTGTTTAGGATACTCTAGTTTTATTATAAAGGTTAGATTTCATATTCAATAACTTATGTTCATAGCTGAAATAGTAAAAAGTCTTTCGTGTCTGTCCTCTTACCTAACTTTTTTCTAAGCCTTGAAGACCCGTGTTGTGCTTCACCGCAGTGTACCGCAATGCCTTGCATGGGAAGCAGTGTGTGACGGGGTAAGACACTGCAAAGACGGAACTGACGAGATCCACTGCACTTGCCTGGACAGGCTGCTGAAGTTCCGTGAAGACCTCGACTGTGACGGCCACTTCGACTGCTTTGACCTGAGCGACGAGACTTGCAGTAAGGCTTTGTGAAGGGATGGAGAGGCCCTTGTCTAGACGTTGTTCATGAAGTTGACATGTGAATAGGTATTTGCAGATAAAGGATTCAAAAGATGATCTTGGACACGACTCTGGGGTAAATGTTGGACTTTAGACCCTTGTGAAGAGCCGTGTAGACCTGTAGCTCGAAAAGCTGGTATATGCACATCTGTACGATCATTTGGGGTTTACAGTTTAGTTTCATTATATCATTGTGTGCATATTGTGCATTCACACCTGGTTATAGGTGCTTGTCGCTAATTGTATCGTATATTCTGAAAGCCTACTCAAGAGCTCGGGTAGGCTTAATTGCTTTTATCACTGAGCGCCATTCAAGACCTTGATCAACTTTAGATTTTCAGTTTGTAGTTTATAAAGTTAAATATGATAGTATTTGCTGTTTTTGCTGTTTTTGCTGAAAATTAGTTTGATTTTTGAGGGAGAGGTGGATGCTGGATGGTTTTCATAGTAATTCTGCATATTTTGGTCCAATTTCCTTCTATGAAGACTATAACTATGATCTTTCTGCAGGTCTGTGCGAGTCTGATTACTTTCTTTGCAAGAGAAGCAGAGCTTGTATTCCCTTCAGCAAAGTGTGCGACAGCAATCCCGACTGTCTTTATGGTGAAGATGAACTAGATTGCAGTAAGTTGCCTTTTTTTAAACTAGCGTATAGACTTTTTGATTGCAAATACTGTTTAAAACTGACTAGCATCCGTCTGCCTCAGTTGCGCTGGTGGAGGCAGGAGAGTCGCTGCCGTACGAGTCGTCGGGTCATGTGGTTGTACAGTCGCATGGTATGTTGCTGCTACGGTCTGGTGCAACTTGGTCTTCAGTGTGTCTGGATGACCTCCCTGAGGATGTGGGCATAAGTGTGTGCTCCTATCTTGGCTACAAGTGAGTGGAAGTCTTCATAGTAAATATATAATTTTGCTTGTAGATCAATATTATCGAATTGTAGAAAAAAGTAAGTCAATGGATTTAAGTTGGTAACTGTTTAACCTAAGCCAGGTCTTTGAGTTGTTGATCTTGTAAATGTTGTAAATATGCATTGTTGCATTTTACCATCCAAGCTGTCTTTGCTTTATGCTAAAGCAAGTGAACTTTACTTGCAGCAATATTAACAATTGGACAGCACGAGTAAACCATGTGAATTAGTGAAAAAGTATATTAAGCAGTGTTTGTGGAAAATTACATTTACCTGGATGTATCTCATTAGATACATACCAGTAAATGGTGGTAAAGATGATTATTTATCAAAGTTAGAGAAAAGTAGGAATTTGGGACACCTAGGTCGCAAAAAGTTCCCCTTCGATACCTACCATAATCAATCTCCACAAGTTACTCTAGACTTGTACTAATTGAAAATGAAACTTAATTGCCAGGAATTCTGGTAAAATTTAATATAAATTTGTGGACTGTATATTAAAATTAATAAATGATTACATATACACATTTATATAACAGGAAGATTTAATAACACTCGCCAATTAGTCTGGAGATTACCGTGTCATGTACAGAACCCCCCTCTAAATTTATGATAACACTGGCCAGCATTACGAACATAATTTAGATAGCTTATCTGAGGTTCCTGGAGCTGTCCTGTACATCTGCTTAATGCTTAAATTATGCAGGACTGCACATCCCAAAATTTTGGCTCCTATTTGAGAGGTTTTAAACCCAATGTAACCCCTAGAGCGACGAAAATTATACACCTTACATTAACGTGCTTGTAACACATTCAGAAAACAAAGGCATCTCTCCCTGCTCGTCAGTGCAGGCGCAGAACTTCCCTGTCGATTCTCTTATTTGAAATGCACTTGACAGAACAATAGTAACATATTAATCAGGTTTATTTACACAGCATAAATTTTGGGAAATTATTTTCCACACTGCAGCCAGGTGGAGGTCGTTGCTAAACGACTCAAATTACTCCTTCAGGAGAAGATTCCAGCCGGTTCTGGCTTGAGTGGCTGTTCTCCTAGTAGGTCTTGCTACAATTTCATGTTCCTGCATCACTTGGTCAGTGTTATCTTCAATATCACTCATCACTTTCCCTTAGATTTTCATTTATATTTGATTGCAGGACATTTAATTCCAGGGGAATCAATTTATTAATTGTGCATAAACTTTCTTGGCCATAACACAACACTGACATTCCAGACAACACCTTGTGCATCTGGGTACAATGTCGATACTTTTCCCAGAGGCCACAAAGTTCGATGTTCAGTATCAATTAACACACCTGGTTGAATGTTCTGTCGATTTACTGCCTCTGTCACATCATAAGTGTCCACGTAGTGTAAGAAGACATTCCTTATGCCACACATTAGACCAATGATCAATTACTTTAACATTTTAAATTTATCACACAACACTGCCGCATCATGGTAATCTTCACTTTCTTCCAGATTATCTCTATAGACAGGGGCAGCTTCCAATTTCCTTCCACATATTAGGTGAGAAGGTGTTAATACATCAGCATCAGGTGTATCACTCATGTACGAGAGGGGCCTATTATTTATACGATTCTCTGCCTCCTCCAACACTGCACGAAATTCCTCCAAATTAATTCTCCTCCAGTGTAGTATTTTTCGGAGACACCTCTTCACTGTGCCTATCAGTCTTTCGTACAGCCCCCCTCCCCTGCCAAAGGGCTCTAGGAGTAATAAATTTCCAGGTACACCCTCGTTGGGTTAACAGATTGAACAGTTACTATTATTTAACTATCAAATGTTGAGCACCCGCTACAAAATTTGTGGCATTATCCGAAATCATCACTCGGACAGGATCTCCTAGCTGCAAAATTTTCGAAACAGCTGTATAAACTGTTCTGAAGAAAAGTCCTGAGCCACTTCTAAATGAACTGCCATAGTAGCAGCACAAATGAACAAGCATACATACTTTCAGTGGAACACCATCTAGTCTACACCTGTTACATCAAATGGTTTCACTAATTGTACATGCTCCATTGGCAATGGTGGAGGACCTGGGTACATATAGGTTCTGGCATCCACACGGTGACATATTACACAAGATTTAATCACCCTTTTTACACTGTCGTCCTTTTGGAATCCAGAAAGTTTCCCTAATACAATTTTAGGTATCTTGTACCCCCACTATGCATTACATTTTTATGGGCATTTAAAACAATTAAAATTGTTAGATGAATTTTGGGCAGTAAGATAGGGTGTTTAGCATAATCACCCAATTCAGCATTTTGTAACCTACCTCTGCACCTAATTACATAGTTCTCTACAGCCCCAATTTCTGTTATGGAACCTTTCACAATTTTTTTTCCAAAAATTTAAATCTCGTTCCATAGTTTTCTTCCTGTAACCCTTTTTTCCAAAATTTTCAAGAGGAGAAAAAACTTGTAAAAAAATTTTTATCTTTAAAAATTTTAAAAACACAACTTACTAACATTGATTATTTTTGGGGAAGGAAGAATACCTTTTTAATAAATGACAAAAAGGACAAACTTTTGGGAGTGGTGGTCAGAAATTTAAACGGGAGCAATATACCTTTTGTACAGGCCCAATTAGCTTTATTTCCCAAACCAGCTTGCCCTTTTAAAAAACCATATACAGCATTTACGAATTTAGCATAAATAAACCTCGAGACAAGAAATCACTGGATTCTCCTCACCAGGTATTTGATTAAAGTTAACAATGCTGACCCAAACATTATACTTCCTTGCATCTGTTAATTTCAGGCCCGTTTTGTATGTACAAAATTTTACTTTTTCCTTTATGAATCCTTGAAAGGATACCTCATATCGACCAAGAAAGGTTGCAATATTTATCTCCTGCAACTTTTTTCTTGTATAATTAGCTAATTTACACCCCAGAAAGGGCTGTTAATTCCAACTGGGTAAGGTATGCGTTTTAATTGGAGACACTTTAGCCTTAGACATAAAAGAGAAATAACACTTTTACATTGAAGATAAGCAACTGCTCCCATATCCATTTTTGAAGAATCACAAAAAGGGGATATATTTTTCCCATCTGGATTGGCCACCTGCAGGTAACTCCAACATTGGAATTTTTTTCATAATCACCAATTTTTCACCCCACCTTTAAAAAATTCCCAGGCAGTTTCACCCAAGCACTTTTAAGCTTCCATGCTTTGCATTAATAATTTCCCTCTTTAGTAAGGGGACACTAAGCCTAGTGGATCAAAACGTTTGGAAACTTCAAGCAAGATTTTTATTTAATTTTTTGGGGCATACTGTAATTATTAGTTTTAACATTAACAAATCTCTCGTACCCCAAGTTAATCCAATACATTACTACATTTTGGTACTTCATCCCCGGGGAATCTTTACTGATTTTATCCTTTAATTTTGGACAATTACTATTCCTTTCCCTCAGGCATTTTCACTTTGCTTTATTTTATTAGCCTCCCCCTGGGGTCATTAACGTTCCTTTTCAGTTGATGCACCCAGGAAAATTGTCCACAAAAAATTGTTTGCTCATTACTTTACTCGGGGGATTTCCCCCATACTTTAAGGTGTGCATTTATCGTCGCTGAAGTGGGAACAGACTGGATGTAGCACCAAATAATACCTCCTAAAGTAAAAGGGTTTTTTCGGGGGCCAAGTGGGCATTAGGATATCTCCAAATTTTTTTCCGTAAACGCGGACCCTGTCATCAGCCTTTAAACTAGGTACTTTTTTTTACTCCTGGCACTCAATTAAACACCCTAAAGGGGATGGTCTTAGAACCTTTTTCACCCCGAATGTGGCAAATAGTGACCAAAAATTTTGGCTTCTCGGAGATGCCTCTTCTAAAATATATAATTGTTCAGTATTTATTTAAATTGGATTTATCTGGAGAGATTTCCGGGGGGCAACGCCCCCGGGGCCCGGCCCTTGACCAGGCCTCCTGGGCCCAGTGCCCCAGATGCACCCACACCAGTCGACAACCCCAAGTCGACAACACCCAGGTCCCCTTTTTAAAACTGATGGGAACATAGACAACGTGGAAAAAACCCTCCTTTTTTTTCACCGGCGGGGAATCGAACCCGGCCCCTCCCGTGTAAAGCGAGAGCTTTAACCCCAGGCCACCAGACCCCCCCATCAACAATTCTGGGGCCCTTACTCATTCGCAGAGCTAGCCTTTAATTGTCCAATGCCATCTGAATTTAGTGGGTAATTCGGGAAATGGTTCCCCGGAAGTCGTCCCCAGTATTGCCAATTCAAATTTTACATCTGTCGGGTATTGCCCTGAGTAAAGGAACTCTGGATTTAATTTCTTTTACTTTATTCCAATCTGTCTAATTCCCACAACTATGCAGGCTCAACACCATCCTCTATGGAAAATTTACGGGGGCAACGTTTCATGAGCAAGACATGAAGTATTTATGGTTTCCTCTCATCAGCATTTTACAAAATCCTACCATACATACATGGCCTCCTGCAGTTTTTAAAAAAGGGTGAAACCCATTTCTTTCCCATACCCTTTACAAAGGGGGCATAATTCACTACCTATCAAAATTTTATTGGCCTACAGAATCTTTTACACCAAAAGGGTGCAAAATTTACATTGTGAAAGTTTTTCGTAGCTTTACTAAGCCCACTGTAATATTTTCTCTGGAAGTCTATCTACAATTACTGAAATTAACTTTTTTTCCTCTTTCCCCCAACCTGACAGTTACATAAACAGCGTCAACAATTAGCCCTTTTATCCGAGAAACCTCTTAAAGGGGGGCCCCTTTGGCGTGTGAAGGGGCCTTGGGTCTGGGGAATTTTGACCTATGGGTCCCTTTCCCCAACCGAACCTAATTACCCCCCAAATTTCTCCCCTCCCCATCCCATCCTCCCCATCCCCCCCTTTTCCTTTTCCCCCTCCTCCCCCACTCCCCCCTTTTTGCCTTTCCTCTTTTTGTCCTTTGGG